GTAAAACACTTTACATTTACCATGTAAAACACTTTACGTTTACCATGTAAAACACTTTACGTTTACCATGTAAAACACGTTTACCATGTAAAACACTTTACATTTACCATGTAAAACACGTTACGTTTACCATGTAAAACACGTTACGTTTACCATGTAAAACGCGTTACTTTTACCATCTAAAACGCGTTTACCATGTAAAACACTTTACGTTTACCATGTAAAACACTTTACGTTTACCATCTAAAACACGTTTACCATGTAAAACACTTTACATTTACCATGTAAAACACTTTACGTTTACCATGTAAAACACTTTACGTTTACCATGTAAAACACGTTTACCATGTAAAACACGTTACATTTACCATGTAAAACGCGTTACGTTTACCATGTAAAACACGTTACGTTTACCATCTAAAACACATTTACCATGTAAAACACGTTACGTTTACCATCTAAAACACGTTTATCATGTAAAACACTTTACATTTACCATGTAAAACACGTTACGTTTATCATGTAAAACACTTTACGTTTACCATGTAAAACACGTTACGTTTACCATCTAAAACACGTTTATCATGTAAAACACTTTACATTTACCATGTAAAACGCGTTACGTTTACCATCTAAAACACGTTACATTTACCATCTAAAACACAGTGAGTTGTTTTGTTGAACTGTCCCCCCCCCCACCCCCCCAGGGTTGGAAGAAGGAGCGTGTGGTGAACAAATTCTTTGAAGGAAAGATTCTTCTGATCTTGGCAGATGATCCAAAATATGCCACGAAGAAGGTGCAGGAAAACACACATCAGACAACAGATTGTCAATGTGTAAAAACACAAATATGAAAGTACTTGTTGATGAGCACACTGTGTGTTTTCAGGCTGAAGAGGTGCGGCAGGTGGTGGACAGTGAGCTGGGTTTCCAGCAGGTGACTCTCAGCAGACCCTCTCAGGCTAAGACCTACCTGTTCATCAGCACAGAGGGGCTGGTGGTGGGATGTGTTATTGCTGAGCCCATCCGACAGGTGGGACTGTTTTCTAATGATTCACTTCATCATTCACCTGGTGACTAACTCTACCTGTGCCTGCAGGCCTTCAGAGTCCTGGAGCAGCCCGATCAGAACAAAGACATGACCAAGGATGACTTCATGGAGCGCCACAGAGCCTGGTGCTGCTCCACCGTCCCAGAACAGGCTCTGTGTGGGATCAGTCGGGTCTGGGTGTTCAGCCTGGCCCGAAGGCAGGGCATCGCTACGCGCCTGCTGGACACAGTCAGGTGAGACGTCTCACCTGTGCTCCACATGGCTCCGTTACATCTGCACATTTAAAATGTTCACAAACATGTGGCTGTTGAAGCTAGGACTGCAGCTTTAAAAGATTAACTTTTAACACTCTGAACCCTTAAACATCAAATTCTACTTGTTTTAAATTTGCTCAAAATTTTTCTGAAGATGTCATTCAGAATCAGCTTTGCAGCACAGCAGAGTGTTTAAATCAGCTCTAAGCAGTGGTGGATGTAGGATTTTTCAGTGTACGGGGCCACAGTATGCACGGAGGGGCCCAGCATTTGTTCAACATGTTTGCACACAGATCCCCAGTTTTTGTAAGGTGTATAAATATAATCAGTCAGGTGTTCAGGGACACTTGTAAAAGCTCCAACTGTAAATTTTCCTCATCTATTTTCCATGTATTTTTACTGTACATGTATAAAATACTCTCAGACACACAACATGTGAGAAAATCCAGCCGTTGTTGTCAGTTAAAATAGTTTTTCTMCAGGATTATTCATATTGAAAAAGACTTGATTCATGCTGGACTTTCCTATTTGACTCATTAGCGCCACTACTGTTTGGAAGTGGAACTGCAAAGGACAGATGAGTGACAGGACAGGGGCACGTCAAGGGGCCAATCAGATTTCAGATGGGGCCAATGTCCCTGTGGCCCCGCCCCTAGAACCGCCCCTGGCTGTGAGACTGACTGATTAAAGAGAGACTGAGATGCTACAACATCCTGCTGGGATCAATAAAGTATTTTTGAATTGAATATTCACTCAGTCAAGTTGAAACAAATCTCAGCACACTGTTTATGTTTTGGTTTGCTTCAACTTGCATTTAATTTATTTTTTTCCACGTTTCTTCTCTTTTTACAGAATTACATTTGTGTGTTTGTTACGTATCATTACGTACAGTTTTATTGTTACGTATCATTACGTACAGTTTTACTTTGATTCAGCTGATTGATATTTGAACTGTTTGTTAGATCTAGAAACAGTTTTTATGGAGTTTAAGCCTGTTGACACCAGTTATGTCTGTTCAGTTAACAGAGCTAAAGTTAAAAGAAATAAAAGCAGTTTTGACCCTGAAGAATAATTAAAGTGTTGATAAATATTTGACGGCTACAACAGGACAGTATTTATTCAGTCAGCACACATTAAATGTTTTCTCTCCTGCAGGAGTACCTTCATGTACGGGAGCTACCTGACCAAACAGGAAATGGCTTTTTCTGACCCGACTCCAGACGGGAAGCTGTTCGCCACCAAGTACTGTGGCACGCCCACCTTCCTGGTTTACAACTTCATTGCATGAAGTTCAGCAAGATTAAAACTGAGTTCTGAAAGTGTTTTAATGCAAAGTTTGTTCTGTGGTTGATAAGACTTTAATTTAAAGTCAAGTTAAGACACTTGAGCAGGTTGTAAATGTTCTGTATTTATGTTCAGCGCTGCTCAGTTTAATTTTTACAAACTGCCTTCAAAGGATCTACAATTAGATGTGTTCAAGTTGACCTTTGATACATGATAAATGTTCATTGTTGTAAACAGTTTGTTTCTAATAAATCTTTTAAGCAAAGTTTATTACAAATGTAATTACAGCAAGAGTTGGAAGGAGTGGACAGAGTAATAATTATAAAAGAGTGGATAGAGTAATAAAATTATAAGTAATGAAAAAGTGAACTTCAGTTTCTACAGCTATCTCATGAAATAAAGTATAAATGTAATATTTATTTAGTAAAGGTGCCAGCAGGTKCCTCACTGGGCTCTGTCCAGCAGGTGTTGTCCTCTAAAGCCTGGACGATCTGAGCTGCTGAGGGTCTGTTCCTGGGGTCTTCCTCTGTGCAGAGACAGAACAGCTCCACCATCCTGCGGTACGACGGACCAAGAGCCTCCAGGTCCAGAGGAGGTCTGGTCCCTAAACGCTCGTAGTAGGCGTCTTCYTCAAAACTGTCCTCCGTCGAGTCGTCTGCAACACAAACATTCATCAGCTTCACTGAAAAACTGATGTTTGGGATTTATTTTTTAGTGAGAGTACAGTTTACAAAACAAATCTGCTTCTAACTTTATATTATTATATAAAAATATATATAAAAAAAGATCCACTGGAGCATCCCGGTCAGAAGCAGGTCAGATAATTATTTAATCGGCTCTGATTAAACAACTTCAGATTCAATGTGTAACATGTAGCATCCATGCTAGCTCTGTAAACAAGTCAGCTGATGAGACGTCACGTCTTTTACTGCGCATGTGTGTCACATCAGTGCTGTGTAGCGTTCACACAGGGGTCTGATACAGGTCACATTTAAAATGTAACGTGAACGTTCACATTTAAAATGTAACGTGAACGTTCACATTTGAAATGTAACGTGAACGTTCACATTTGAAATGTAACGTGAACGTTCACATTTGAAATGTAACGTGAACGTTCACATTTGAAATGTAACGTGAACGTTCACATTTAAAACGTAACGTGAACGTTCACATTT